CTATATCAATTGGATTGGATTGGTCGCGTAATCGCCGTCTTTTCACTTTCCTTACTTCTTTTTCGTAGGGTGCACACATTTCCAAAAACTCCAATACTTCGAGTTCATCACACATAATTAAAATTAAAACGAAACAAAAACAATCGAAATAACTGCACAAACATGTTTTACACATAATAAAAACTGACATAGAAATAGAAATAATAACCAAATTACAATAATGAAGCTATAAATTAGAAAACAATTCTATAAAAGCTAATATGAAGCCACCGTAAACTGAATTGTCTTTAAACGGTCTTTTTGACAGTTGCGTCCGCTTAGATCTGTCAAATGAAACGCTCATAATACGAAATAGCCGGTCAGTTTTCGGGCAGAAGACGTTCAGGTATCACGTGACCGCTGACTGGCTGGCTAATAGCGTTCGTAATACGAAATCGCCAGGCAGTTCAGTTTAAGCCGTAAACTGAATGGGAATAAGAGTTCATAATACGGCCTCTGAATAGCAAACAAAATGGCGGTCCAACTTATGGTTAATAGTAACTGTTGCCTATATACATGAATAGGACCATGGATATCACGTTATCATTTATTTGAATCCCACATGAAAAAAAAATACAACTCTATCCTGAGGAGATAAAAACCATCGCTCCTAATAATTATTGTCTCTGACGGGTAGCGAACACTTAAAAAGGGCGAGCACAATAGATATATATAGGTCGTAGTACTACAGGTCCAAGCACCTGACAATAGCCCAAAAGTTTGGTTAAATCTATTTATTTTTTTAGCCAGTTATTGAAGTCGCTGGCAGAAGACCCAAAAACGAATTATTAAAATGAAACTAAATTTAATTCTAAAATTAATTATTACAATAATATGTAATAATTAATTTTAGATGTGTGATCGGTAAGTGAAGTTATATAAAATCAAATGTAAAGAAAATGGGTACTTTTGCTGCGGGAATTGAAATGCTGACTCGACGCAGGTGTCTTTCTCGGTAGCGCACCTTCTTGCGTCATGCTAGGTGGTCGGATCCGATCGCCGTTGAGGGTGTGTCGTAATACTTGATAGGTATCTACTATAACATACTATAACAAGCCTCTCAATAACAAATAAATAGATTTGGCCCAACTGAAAAGAACACAAAAAAAACATATCGATCGTATACTACAGAAATTATTGACAATAGAGCAAAGTGATGTACATGTATAGTGATGACTAGGGGGAGGGGATTGTTAGTAATGTGGACTAATGAACCCATTGCTAGCAATGTACCATGTCAGGTCGACCTCCACGCGGTTCCCCCTGGTAACCATCGTGATAAATTTCCGGTGAATTTGTCACGATGGGCTATCTGATCTGACTTCATGTTCATCCTATCATCCTCCACTGGTGCCCGCCAGCGCAAACCGTTAGCGCAGGCGCGTGCACCATTCCATTATCATCCTCAAAAAAAATATAGTGATGTTTTGTAGAGGACATCAATATCGAAGGGTCTCTCAATATGTATGTGTGTGTTAAAATTAGAAATTTATTAAACTAGCTACCATGTAATAAAAACTTATAAACCTGCCTCTTGAATCACTCTATCTATTTCTTAAAACTGCATTAAAAACCGTTGCGTAGTTTAGTAGTTTTAAGCGAACAGACAACGGTAGCGACTTTATTTTATGCTGTTTAATGAACCTGTGCGAAATCGAGATTAGTGTTGCTAGTTTTTAACAAAATTAAAGCTTATAATACAAACAATAATCCGTTATCCCACTAGTTCTGTGGCCCGACAACCAGCTCCTTATTTGTCTACCAACTATCGAGTACAGTTACCGGCAATATTATCTCCCACAATAGGTTTAATCGTGCGATGAAGTCGTGATGTACACTCAGACTAAATATATCGCACACTTAATAATAAAGTGCATTAAGTCAGAAAAAAAAATATTCCGGAAATCGACTTTAAAATTGATACTTCAAAGTCGAATTTTGAATTATATATTTTTTTATTTTTTTAGTGATGATTTAGCGAAATGCACTATAGTATATTTAGGAGTCGAGTCTGTTTGATCAGATATATAAGAATTTTATAGAAATATCAAAGATTATCGCGTCTAACAATGACACTGTGATATTTCCGAATGTAGCTATCTATTCATTGAATGAGACTATTGTGGAGATTTTAGAATAATTTCTGATCCAAATAACAATTTTATTATTATCCTCACTTATTGCGTTATTGATTTTTATGATAAATCTTATTGGTGGGCACGAGTTTGTCCTTACAAGATGACTATACTAAACTAAATATCTGGAGGGAAGGGGGATTGTTAGTAATGTGGACTAATAACCTCTTTGTTAGCAATGAACCACGTCAGATTGACCTCCACGCGGTTTCCCGTGGAAACCATCATGATAAATTCTTGGTGAATTTTTCATGATGGGCTGACTAACCTGAATTCATGCTCATTTTATCATCCTCTACTGGTACCCCGCCAGCATAAACCGCTGGCGTAATCGGGTGCACGATTCCATTATCATTATTAAAAAAATACGATATTGAGTTTTTTTTTAATGAAATAACAGACAAACAAATAATTTTCATCGTTGTCACAATTTCATTATGCACTAGGTTTTACCCACGACTTCATGCACACACTTTTATCCCATATTTTACCCCGTCCCAGATTGTTTTTCAAGATAAAAATGATGCATACATCCTTGTGATACGGTTTATCCTCACGACAAATTTCATCAAGATCCGTTCAGCCATTTAGTAGTACAAATTTAACAAACAGACAGACCCACACAACACGGCTGTACCGCAGTTAGTTAAACATTATGCAATAATACGTTTCCGCGGAAAACAAACTGTATCGAACGAGGTAAAGGTCAACGTACACAAACAATGGTACGTTGATGTAACGCCGAATAACACTACGTTACGCGCCGGCGGCTGCGCCCGCGCATATTAGCATGGGTGCACACTGAGAGATCAAAATCAAAACTTTTTTTTATAATATATATAGCACTATTTTTACTTCAATACTAACAGGGCCAGCTGATGTTGAGAGATCAAAATCAAAAGCATTTTTTTTATTTATATAACACTAATTTTACTTCTATAATAAAAGGCTCAAAAGACTTCATAATGCCCGGCAAAACAGCGCTACAGAGTCCAATTGTATTTTCAAACTATTCAGGAACTCATTGAAATATTCATCCTAATTAGTCCAGCCACAATTGTGACTTTGATAGCAGTCAAGGATAGATAGAAAATTACCGTAGCCTATGGAACTCCTCCTCCTGAAACACCAGGTGTGTCAAACAGTGCGCGTTGCAACCCTTAAAGAAACCTTAATATACCTTTCTTGAAAAACCCCATGTTGTAGTCTCTCGAAAAAACCTCGGCAGGTAGTTTATTCCACAATCTAAGTGTACGCGGGAGGAAGCTCCTCTGAAACCGCACTGTCCGAATCACTTAGGTTTCAGCTTTTAGGAATGAATTCCCTGTTGATGTCGAGTGGTGCGATGGTGAAAGGTATTTTGAACAGTAATTAAATTGTGATGGTCAAAAATATTAATAATATTAATGTTGCACCTAGTGTATCCCCAGCTTTATTAGTAGTACATCGTCTTTTTAGTTTTAACACTGCATTAGTATACGTTTATGATATAACGGATTTTATCTGCCGCCTAATGTTCGCCGAATATATCAGTGCTTATCAATATACGGCCCGCAAAGGAAAAAGAAACATAACACAAAGCTGTATCTTCAAAAGTTTATTAAATTATTAATGCAACTTGTAGTTAGTATAATGTTCCCGTAATAATGTTGGCAGGGCCGCTTGCTTGCAGTCAATGCAAGGTCTAATTTTATTTGTGGTACGTGCTTCGTGTTAATTCCGATTAAGTAAAGATTTGGCGAATTGGATAAAAATTAATAAAATATAAAAAAAACTGACTTATATAAAATATCAATTATATAAGTATCCGCTAATAAAGGATGTTTGAAATGTATACATTTTTTAAGAACACTGGTGGTTTATAAATAGCTAGTTACCCACTCCGGCTTCGCACGAATGTACATTATGCAATAAACCTTCCTCTTGAATCACTCTATCTATTCCTAAAAACTGCATTGTAATCTGTTGCGAACAGCGGACGAGTTTACATTTTATACTATGTAAAGACATCTTTGTTCGTAGTTTTTATTGATTAGTTTATTTAAAATAAAATTAGTCTAGAAAAAATCCCAATAAAAGAAAATAATCGATTTTATAATCAGTTAAATAGCAATACTTTATTGTTCATGATTAATGACCCACATGTACATTTAAGTTAGGATAAAAAAAATAACGTAAATCATTGCGACCTATAGAGTAAAAGGTTGACTAACACTGAATTAGTTTAATGTGCAAAGGTGCAAACAATTGAATTTATATGGATATAGAGCTATGTTTCAATGTATTTAATTATTTTATCGCTGGTAATTAAATGTGAAAACTATGTTTGTGATAATAAAGTCTTATATCGGTTGGTTTGCAGTGAATAAATTAATTTAATACTTGCAAAAGTTCTGCAGTATTCTGTATTCTGTAGCTATATTTAAATTATGCTTACTAGTATTAAATTCTTGAAGTTCGCTCTTTATATAGATATCTATAACTTTTAAATAGATAATTTAATTATAAGTGAACTGTAAGTAATTAATAATTTAAAGTTAACTTTATTCATTCTTGTTTCATTTATTATTATCTCAGGCCTTCACAGCTTAACTGAATTTAAAAACCCATAAAAATAAATCCGCCTTTTCATATACAATTCTCATACATTTATTATGACATGAATGGGATAAGGATGAAGCGAATGATGATGTAAAGGATATACCACTATAATAATATTCTAAAAGAAACATATCGGAGTATCTTATCATTGTAAAGGTATATCAAACCTTACAAAAGATTTATAATGTCTGACGTAGCCTTAACATATTTTTTTCTTTTTTCCAGATGTGACACACCCACGATGGCAGCCACGGATGGCCAAATCGTGGTGGCAGCGTCTCGTTGGTTAGACGAGGGCCACTATCTCAGAGAGTTCGCCGTCAAGAACCGTCTGCCGAGCGTCGCTAAAATCATCAAAGGCCAGTATGGTGGTCTCGGTGTACCCACACTGCCCAGCCCAGGCCTTCAGAGTACTGCTCTACTTGTATCCGCAGGAAAGAGGAAGAAAATCATAGCTCAAGCCATAAAATTGAAAGAAGGAAGACGCATGGTCAGTGTTGGTCCTAGAATAGCTATTCCTGATACTTATAAAGGATATTTTGAACTGCTCAGTGAAGAAGGTAGGGCAGTACGATGTATAGAATCAGTAGCAGAACTATCTAGAAGAAAACTAGAAGATGGATGTTTAGTAAGAGAACCTGTTCGGGTGATTTGTGCTAAAACTGATCTAGAAGGTAATATAACAGCTGATGGAGCGAGAAATATGCCAGCTGGCGAAGTTATAATGCCCAAAGGAGAGGCGTTTTTAGGTAAAAATAAATATTTGAAATGTACTGATTCTAAAGGTGATACAGTGTTGTTGAGTTTGGATCAGAGAGGAAAGTTCTCTGCTATTGCCAAAGAAGAGAACATAAGTGGAGTCCACACAGCTAAAACTTTGCTAACGAAACGTTTGCCGATAACTGTAAGACTTGTACATGGCACTCCACCGAGAGGACTGAAGAGTGCAAGCCATTTTGTTCCTGAATTAAGGTTACTATCAATGTTTGAAGAAGATCATGTTTTTGCATTGCCCCTACCAAAAGAAGGTAATGCTTTAGTAGCCTTACCTTTAGCGGCTCCCCTTAAAATGCAAAAATGTAAAAATGAAGAGCAAATCAAAAACTTCATGGAGTTCTCTAGGTTAGTTGAAAAGTGCAAACGTTTGCTAGTTGATGTGGTCGATAGAATACATGTACTAGATGGTAAATTGGGTGATCCAAAGAGACTACTAAATGCGCCACTACATGCCCCACCTTTGGTAAAAACCGGATATTTCTTGAGACGAAGCGCTTCATCAGACACTGCCAATCAACACAAACACATATCCCGTCATAGTCATATCTACAGTAGTCACAGAGATGAAAACAGTATTCCCGATGAATATGATGAAATTGATCAAATCTATGATTATGTTAGAGGGTTTGCTCCTCTACCTAAAAATTTAAAATCTCCATATTCGAACGAACCAAAACACGAATCGGCACCATCGTCTCCAGCACCGACACCTATCCAAATGCCTTTAATAACAGAAATAAAACCCGAACCACCACCCATAGAGACTATACCGACTAAGAAGCCATTGAGTTCTCAAAAAGCTGAGAAAAGAACCCGTAAAACTGCCATACCTGCTAAGGAAACTCCTATTACAGTATATAAAGAAAAATGTTCCATTGCCCCAGCTCCGAACAATTTGCCCAAGTTGTACATAAAAAATAACATAAACAATAACAAAAATAGAATGGTGTTCCGTCAAAAAAGCAATTCTCCTACCAAGGAGAATCCTAGTCCAATAACTAGTCCGGTACGTCCAATTACTAAAGGAGACTCTCCCATATTCAACATAAGGTACAAGAGCCTTTCTAATATACATCAGGCTATGGAGTTAGATGGAACGTTAGATTCGAGTCATTCCGGTGGAAGAACGTCAGGAGATTCGGGAAATGGTCCAAAATTACCAGAGAAGAGATCAAGGAAGTTAAATAGGCCGAAGTCGTTGACAAATCTTGTTTGGGAACTGAAGGGTTGTCCTGTGGAAACGGAGAAACCAAAACCTAGGATAAAAAATGAGAATTACAAGAAGATTGGAAACAAACTGTCCTTGGGAACTCAGAAGAAGGTCCCGACGTTATATCTTTAATCACTTGGTAAGTTTTATATTTTCTATGTGTTCTTAATCATACTAACGACTAAGTAATGGAAATTTACAACCGTAGCCTATATACATAGACAGTGCTACGAAAACAAAATAGATCTTAATCTTATCAATATTATAAACACGAAATTTTGTGAGTATGAATGGATGTTTGTTACTCTTTCACGCAAAAACTACTGAACGGATTTTATTTATTTTATTTTAATAATTTTAATGCACGTCATACATACATACATATATGGCGGAATTAACACCTAATCACATTTTCTACCAGGCAACCACGAGTTGTGCAGAGATACTCGTAAGTTGTTGGCGGTGCAAACAATTTTATAAAACGTACACAAATAAAACTATACATATGTATATACATAAATATCCCTACAAATATACATATACATATAAAAAAATACCATATCATAAATACTGCCTAATAATCTGACAATGAAAAAGTGATTACAGCCGACAGTGAAAACATATTACAACATAGTAATATGGATGGATTTTCATGAAACTTTACATTAATATAGCTTATATATCAGAATAACATATAGGCTTTAAATTTCACGCGAATAAAACCGCAGACACAGTTAGTACAAATATGTACAGTGCACCCCCGGTTATCCGACAAACGTTTTGCAGGGCAGTGTCGGACCATCGAATTTGTTGCATTATAGAGTACTGCCTAAGGGTCCCCTATAGTCCGGAATTTTTTACAAAAGAGTATCTCGTAATCCGACAAATTACAGATCCAGTGATAAGATTCTATGTTATATATGTATGTATGTATATGCACTCTGAGGTATATTGTCAAAGTAATATTCAATAATAAATAATAGACAATGACGGATTACAAGGGGGGCCGGATTACCGCGGGTCCACTGTATTTCAGTATTTTCTATAAGCTATTCGTATTATTTGTTTGCCAAATTCCTTTATCAATTCTTGTTAATTATAGTAATGTAATGCCAATTGAAATACCAATTAAAAGGTCGGTAGGTCAAATCAACTTTCTCTTCATCAACGACATATAACTAATTAATTAATCCAGCAAGCTAATTACATTTTAATGAGCCCAAGCTCCATATTTTATTCTAACAAGCCATATTGTTCAAGGCTTCGAATTATTACCATAAATTGTAACATTAATTGGGAAGAGATTTTTTTCTATTGAATTAAATTAATAATTGTTCTATTAATTAAATGTACTATTTAGTAAATTGGTTTATTACCATGTTTAGTAGTTATCCAATTAGTAATGGTAGGGAGGTCGGTTTAGTGTTAAATAACTCGATAAATCTTCTAAACTAAATATAACTAAATAACATTAAATTTTCACCTCTGTTTTACCAAACCCTATTTTTTAATAGCGATTTTAATTTATCAAAACAACGTTTGCGGTTCAACTAGTGTGTATAAACGTAAATCCATGCAAATCCATCTTCCGTTTGTAATGCACAAGGAACTTTGCCTCCTCGCACACATTGCATGGCATATCACGACATCCGAGTTGGTCCCGGGAATTGCAAAATATTAGCAGATGTTACCGGCTTTCCTATAACTGTAATTTATACGGAGTTTGCATCGCGTGGGTTCCATGTTGAAATGCTTAATGCTTTCTCATTATTAATTTCGATAAGACCACGGCTACATAGCTCAGGCTATATAACTCATTTTGTACTGCCATATTTTTGGCAGTATACACATTGCTCCTTTGTTAACTTTTGTTTCTTCTAATTCAATGGTTATATTTTTTTTTGGTTCTGTTTATTCTTTAACGGAAAGGCAAAGGGAACTATTCCTTTACAGCCATGTCTGCAGGTTTTCGATCTGTCTTAAATTGTTGATATAATGTAGTCGTCCTGTGCAAAAAATGTTCTTAAGTTATTTTATATTAAATTTATATCTGGCTACATAGAATTTTATATTCAGAAAATCGAAGTGAGTATGTATCCACTGAATTTATGTTAGCTGATGTACCTGTAGGTCAACAAGTGTAAGTTGTTTGTTGGGTAGTGTTTATACTATTTGACTGACTTAAATTTAAAGGGGCGTATTGGAACTTTCGTTATTAATTTCATATCTGGCCAGATAGAAGACATTGCGATTAGAATTTTGTATTTAGAAAGTGCTTTTGTCTTTCGTTTGTCTTCTATTTTTCGTAAATTTTCGCTGTTGACATATTGTCAGCGTTGTACTTTTACCAATTATATACATATTTTACTTTTGTATTTCACTATATTTATTAACACTGCATATTAAACTACACTTTACTAGTTCCTGAAGAGAAATTGAGTTAGTTAGTAGGGATTGCGTGACACGCCCCCCACGAAGCCTTCTGACGGATGAAATCGCCGTATAGAAAATCCTCGACGTATGAAATCACTCCCCAAGTGCGAAAACTTCCCCCATACGGACCCCCGAAATCCCCCATAGCAAAGACATCCCGCGCTCCTGCCATCTTTTTCTGAATCAGTGCTCTATATTCTTTCTCAATCCTATTCATAATGTCGCATAATCTGTGGTCTAAATATCGATGTTACTTGTACTATGCGTGTCAATTTTTAGCTCCAATTACTACTCTGTGGGACCAACTAAATTTCAAAACGGCAACCTACTTTAAATTTAGTGATGTCGAAAATACTTTATACGATAGTTAACAACAATATAACAGGTATTTTAGTGCAGTAGAGGTTAGTCAAGTCGTAAAACTCAATAAATACCATTGTAACATCAAGGCAAGTAGTTTAATAGAGATATGATTGGTTTCCATGCAAATTACGATACGTTTACCGTAGTCAGTATTATCCTGCGAAATCCCATTTCGATAATAATGATACTAATAAACCAGGACATTTCAAATAGCGCCATCTATTGCTAATCTAAGCAGAGTTGGTGCCGAAACCCATACAATAAAATGATGATGACAGTGCAACAATCAACAGTTTCAAGAGATTTCAATTATGTTTATGATTTTAACTGTAATATATTTTTAATGTATTTAAAATCAATAAAATTAATAATAAATGATGGACTATCATTTATTATTAAATGTTGACAGAAAGAACAGAAGTTTTTATTTATTTTTAATTACAATTTTATGGCTTTTATAAAAAAAGAGGTTTCATGTGCTAACAAATGCAAAGTTGCAATCTACAAGTTTCTTGTTCATTCTTCTTTCTCTGAATTAGTGGTGTAATAAAAAAAATACTATTCAAATATGCTTACATTCATTAATTGTTTGAATAAACATTGTTTCTATTTATGCCAACTAAACTTTTAAATTAATTTATGGAACTTTTTAGAAACATTTTTATATTCTCCATGCACTAACTAGTTATAAAGAATCTAACATTTATATATATCTGAATGTTGAATGCATAATGTTACAAATGAACAGGTGGATCGAAGCGCGAAAGTTTTGACATTTACCAACGGGTAGCACTTGTTATTATAGAATAAATGGTGAACAGACATGCAATTTCGTTCAAAGAATAAAATAATATTATATTTATCTGTTTTGCATTCTTGTTATAGAAAATAACAAATTTATATTTTAGACAGAACACGTATAAATGTTTTTAGATATTATGAATTAATTCGAATAATGTATACTATATAATAATATGTATAGATATATGTATACAATATTAAACGACCTCGGTGGTCTAGCGGTTTAGCCATTTTTTTCGCGGGTACGTAACTCTCATAAACATTTGTATTCATATGTATGATTGTTTGTATCAGTGTTAATATGTAAGTATTTACGAAAAAAAAGAAAAATATATGTATTTGTGTCAGTTATCTAGTACCCATAACACATGCTTTAGCTAGCTTAACTTGAGTCTAGATGGTGCTGTGTGAATTGTCCTGATATTATTATATATGTAGATTATTATAATATATATCGTACTAGCAGACTAGCCACGCGTTGCTGTGGCTAAGGTTCTTGAATAAAATAATATTGACTATAAATTGAGATATAAGCTATCCTATCTTTCAAGTGGGATCAAATTGTAATCGGTTCAGTAGTTTAGGAGTCCATCGTGGACAAACGTGACACGAAATTTTTATATATAAAGATTATATTGGAATGAGTGATACTAGATACTATAATATATACTTAACTTTAAGTATATAATAAATTAAAATGCATCATTCACTACACACTACATATTCTATTTACACAAAAAACACTCAAATCTCATTTAAATCGATAGCTGTATCTAAAAAAAATACCAATACCACATTACCGATGGATGGCGTTACATGGAACAGTTTCATTTCACCTTGTAATATAAATTGTGCGTTATTAGGTAATTTGTACGGTGTGTCACGTCTGCATGATTTCAATTCCACTCTGTGACATCATTGTATTGCATCCCGCACATTGTAGTGTATTGTAACCTTTAGATACTAATGTAATAATCCAAAGTTTACAATTTTCTACTATTTACAAATGTTGCAGAATGGTAGATAATGCATCTATTTACTACTATTGGGTGAAAACATTTTCCACTTTAACAAACAAATGGCTATTTCACAATTTTATTTGCTCATTGCATTCCATCATGTTACAGCAATTTTTGGAATACATGAAATAGCTTTTATTTATTAACTAGCTACTCGCCCCGGCTTTGCCCGGGTGTATTATAACATGTATTATACATATAAACCGTCCTCTAAAATCACTCTATCTATTAAAAAAAAATCCTTTGCCTAAGCTACAAAATCCGTTACGTAGTTTTAAAGATTAAAGCATACACAGGGACGGACAGCGACAGCGACTTTATTTTATATTATGTAATGATACATAATATATATATAGAAAACACCCATACCGATATAAACAATCTTCATGAATAATGTTTGTATCGTGCGAGGAGTCGAACCCACGACCATAGGAATTAAGACGGTTTGCTAAAAATCTACATCACCGTCTTCATAGGCCGTTAAAAAATTAATAAATGAAATGGATTTCCTCAAAGAAACACA